AAGAAGAAGAAAGTGTTATCATACCTCCAGGAGACCAGGGCCTGTCCTTCGTGCCCTGGCTTAAAAAGCGGGCATCGATCCCCACCACCTCTGCTTCGAGTGTTTGGGGGACCAGGATATGGCCGAGGCGGTGCCATTCACGTTCGCCATTCCTTCCGGGTCCGGTGTCCATGGAAGTCCACCGCCCAGGGCGCCCTCATGAGAGTGGCCGCGGTGCGCTGTACTCTCCCTGGATGATGATCATGGCGGCGGGTGTGTGGGCTACTCGCTCATTGCTAGAGATGACCCCGTCCCACCAGGTCAGAGCGATTATTGGGCCGCAACGCCGAATAAGTAGCTTGGTCCACGGGCCTTTCCCCAGGCCCGGTTCCCCCGGGGACCGGTGCTCGGTGGCTTCACATGATATAGGGTCGACCCTACTTCATCACAGGCCGCCGCCGCTGCCTGCCGTGTGATGTCCCTGGGATATCACGCCGCATGGCACTTTCCAAAGAGGACCGCGTTGATCTCCTGGGAGCCCCCGTGTTTACAGAAGGGCTCTATGGATCGATCTCCTTGCTCACGGGATAAGGAGTAATCGCAACGTGGCTGCTTCTTGCCCATCCCCAGAGGAAGAAACACTGTCCTACACTCCCCGCCCTCTGCTGTAAACCCCAGTATAGGGTGCCAGCAGGTGGGCGTGTGCACGTGAGTGGAATAAACCGAGTGCTGTCAAAGCTGTTCAAGAGACGCTATTGCCGGCGTGCTGTTGTCAGAAAACACACCTTGCCTGGTATAATAGCTCCGATTAATGCATTTCACCGTTGAAGGGGAAATACAGCGTTAATACGTGGGTGAAAGAGTTTTTACCTCGTAAAAGAGTGGCCGCGGTGCATTCAGGGACCTCCGCAGGAGAACGGTGGTTTACGTTTGTAAACTCTAGTTCCAGAGTGATGTGTGTGTGTGTGGGAAAAATGTTGAGACAAAGGGAGAGGTGCCGGCACGGAGATCCCGTGCCCGCGGTACCCTCCACCTCTTCGGCCCACCCCGTGGAACCGGGGTACTCACGGGGACGGGCTGCCCGTCTTCACGGATCTGACTGGCGGGGGGAGAAAATCTCTCCGCCCGGGACGAGAGGGCGAATCCCGCCTCCTCCCTGTATAATGCACAGATCACTACGTTTTCTAATAAGAATGAGGTTGATCTGTATCCAAATCTAAGTGTCTTTTGTTTCCACAAATGCTACACTTACACACAATGTTAACCGTACAAATTCCCCATTCGCTGCCCCAACTGTAGCTCCTGTAAAGGAGGTGGCTAGTGGGCATGCGCAGATGAGAGGGATGAACCGCAGGGAGTGCTATTTAAAGGAAAGCGCTATGCGGGTATAGGGACATTATGGCCGGCGTATTGCTGTCAGAGAACACACTACGCCTAGAGCAAAGACTCCAGTTAATGCAGTTTACCGTAGTGGTAAAGGCTGCATTATGGCGGAGTCCGCACTCACACAAGAGCGCGTGGCGGTGCATTCAGGGACCTTAGTAAAAACACACTACGCCTATAAAGACTCCAATTAATGCTGTTTACCGTAGTGGTGAAAACAGCATTATGGTGTGAGGCGGAGGAGAGCATGAGGCGGTGCGTTCAGGTACCTTAGTAAATAATCGGCCCTTTCTGCGTCGACCCTCCATGGGCAAATCTTCCATTCACGGGGAGTTTTGCGGCGGAACGGGTCACCAGAGAGTATCACAGCTTCATAGCTGCAGCCCCACAGCTGAGGGCTTGTCCATAAACACAATGTTATGGGGAATCGAAACTCAGCTGTGTACTAATAAGCTGGATGGACAGGACGCTGAAACGGGGCTATTCACTCCAGTTTTGCCGCGTCCCACCTCCTTTTATGGGCATGCGAGAGGTAAATCTGTCCTCCCAGGAGGAGATGGGTTTCCTCTCAGCAGAGATTCAGGCTCTGGTGCAGAAGCAGGCTGTGTCTGTTGTGCACCCTCAGCACAGAGAAAAGGGTCTTTATTCCATGTACTTCCTGGTTCTCAGGAAGACAGGGGAATTCAGACCTATTCTAGATCTCCGCGGCCTGAATCGCCACATTTCCTGCAGGAAATTCCACATGTTAACTATGAAACAGTTACTGGGGCTTGTGCAGCCAGGCGATTGGTTCACCACCATCGACCAGAAAGACGCGTACTTTCATGTAGAAATTGCTCCAGAGCACAGAAAGTATCTGCGTTTTGCCTTCCAGGGGATAGCCTACGAGTACAACAGGCTGCCGTTCGGTTATTCCCTATCCCCACGCACATTCAGCAAATGTGTGGCCACAGCGCTTCAACCGCTGCGCGCCCACGGCATGAGAGCTTTCTTTTACCTAGACGACCTCATAGTCATGGCTGGGTCCCGGGAACAGGCAATGTTTTGCACAGCACGATTGATCACACACCTAACCAAATTAGGCTTTGCGATCAATTGGAAAAAGAGCACCCCCATACCTCACCAACAGGCGTTGTATTTGGGAGTGGTGCTCGATGCAGATGCGCTGCGTGCCACCCTGTCAGAGAGCAGACGTGCGTCCCTTCTCAGGGTGGTGCACAGGCTGCGACAGGGGGCGACAGTGACAGCTTTAACTGTCATGCAGACTCTGGGTCTCATGGCGGCTGCTCACATGGTGGTCCCGCTGGGGTTACTACATATGCGCCGCCTGCAGAGGTGGTTCTCCAGCCTGCGTTTGGATCCCAAGAGGCACAAATGGCGGCTGGTGACCATCCCTCCCTCAGTGGAGGGCAACCTCCGGTTTTGGGGGTCCCCGGATCACCTCCGGAGGGGGTCTCCACTGGGACGGGTGACCTCCTACATCACAGTGTTCACAGACGCATCCAGAACAGGATGGGGAGGGACCTGCCTGAAGAGGGCTATAGGTGGGCGCTGGGCTCTAACAGAGTCTCGACACAGCAACCTCCTAGAGCTACGGGCAGTAGTGTTGGTCCTTCAGCATTTCATGCCCCTTATTCAAGGGAGACATGTAATGGTCAGGAGCGACAACAGCACCACAGTGGCTTATATCAACAGGCAGGGCGGAGTCCGCTCCGCCGCCTTGTTGTAGTAATGTGTTTTTATTACATGTACAGCACTTTGGCTCGACCAAAAATCGCTTTTAAATGTGCTATATAAATAAAACCTGATTTGATTTGATTTGATTTGTTGGCCACAGCAGAGAGGCTGTGGTTATGGGCTTCAGAGGTGGTGTTATCTCTGATAGCCCTCCATATCCCGGGACTGGAGAACAGGGGGGCCGACCTCATGTCAAGGGGCGGCCCCCTGCCAGGTGAATGGACACTTCACTCGGAGGTGGTGAAGCAGATCTGGGCCCAGTTCGGGAGAGCGGAAGTGGATCTGTTCGCCAGCCGGCGCAACAGCCACTGTGCCCTGTGGTTCTCCATGGCCCTGAGCGACAACCCACCCTTGGGTGTGGACGCGTTTGCACACGAGCCATGGCCAAGGAAGCTGCTATACGCCTTTCCACCACTGCGTCTCATTCTCATTCTCCCTCTCATTCTCCCTCTCCTGGAGTGAGGCGAGAACGTCTGGCAGTCATCCTAGTAGCACCGGATCGCGTCGGGGCTCCGTGGTACTCAGAGATGACACAGATGAAGGTGGGCCAGCCCTGGGTAATCCCCCAGTTCTCAAGAGGCAGGTGCAATCGGGGCGTTACCCACTCTGGGCCGTCCTCTTCAGGCTTGGCTCCTGAGAGGGACAGGCTGAGACAGGGTGGATTGTCTGACAGCGTTATTCAGTCTATCCAGGCAGCTAGAGCTGGATCCACCACAGCCTGTTACAGGCCGGAGTGGCTGGGATTCCCGCGATGGTGTGAGGAGCGGAGAATAGAGCCCCTATCTTGTGAGTTGGGCTCTATTTTTTCCTTCTTAAAGTTATTGGTGGACAGAGGGCTTGCTCATTCTACGGTAAAGGTGTATGCAGCAGCCATCTCGTCCTGCCATGAGGGATTTGACGGCAGGTCAGCCTTTTCTCATGTCGCGGTTTTTACATCCATAATATTCATCTGGCTGCTAGTTATAAATTATTTATCTATTTACCTAATATATCGTATCCCAATAACTTGCATATAGACTCTTATTGCACTATTTCACTTTTTTAAACAATTTTTCTTTTTGTATTTACTATTTACTTGCACTATATTTTCTGTTTATCTGTGTTATTGTTTTGCACTGTTGGAGAAGCCTGTGACCTAAGATTTTCATCGTCATAACTACACTGTAGCTATGTTCGTATGACAAATAAAGAACCTTGAACCTTGTTGTTCAGACATCAGAGTTTCTTAAAGCTGCACAAATGAATATTTTTGCATTATTAATGTAAAAGTATTTTAGCTACTTCAAGCAGGCTCATAGTTCTGTTTGATTTTCTGCCTGAAAATGTGAAATTCTGCTGACACCAGTGTAGTATTTCTGCCCAAGAAGCAATGATGGACGGACAAGGAATCTGTCCAATAATGCAGCTTTAATATGTTGATGAAGACCTATATGTTAGATGTTGTATTCCAAAACTAAAGTTAACCCTCATTGTTCAACTTAAAAAAAAGAAAAACGCTAAATATTTGTTATTACTTATATATTATTATTACCGTATAGTTTTTTTTCTTGATACAAATATAAACAGTTCCATATGTTCTGGAGGTACTGCGCACACATTTCGTACATGCAACCCAGCAGCTGAGCTTTAGAGTCCTTCATCAAGCCATAAAAGCAAAATACACAAATTATATTTACTGTATATCTATCTATATATATATATATATATATATATATATATATATATATATATATATATCTCTCTCCCTCTCTCTCTGTCTCACACACACACACACACACACACACACACACACACACACACACACACACACACACACACACACAGGAAGGTAAGTAATGCGGCCAACATTTTACAAGACATTGTCAATTGTCGTCTCACTCACTCACAATATATAAACACAATGTGATGTAATGTACATTTATTAGGCAAAACTGGAGATCCAGGTTATGGTCCTATGCAGCAATCTTCTGCAAGGGACATGTTTCAGGAGACCAGAACATTTGGGTTCCTCTGCATGTTGAGAAGCAGTTGCTGCTCTTACTCTTCTGGCTCAGAGCATGTTAGCTTCCTGCATCGTGGTCCCTGAGCGTTTCTCCTCACAGCCAGCGTTCAACAGCTGACTGTCACGTCATCAAAACAGAATGTACGTCATTAACAGACAGGGCTTTGTCCAAGGGGATGTCTTTGAACTGCATCTATGGCCTTTGTGTGTCTGTCTGTAGATTGCATAATACACAAGGTTGTACAATTGTACATTTTTCAAGGCTGATCTGCCAAAGACTGTGTGCTCCTCTGGCCTTTGCCAGAAGTGTGTGGGTTTATGAAACTGCCTGAAGCTTTCTTGCACTTTGGCAGAGTGGTGTCTTGTAACACACTTTTTATGATACATTAAATTAGGTAAAAAAACTTTTACTCTGAGTTCTATGTAAGGCAAACACAAAAAAACTGTGTTCAAAAAAGCATTAATGATGTAATTAGTTAAATAAGAAAATTTATTTAAATCGGATTTGTTTTCAGTTGGAGTGTGGTTATGGCTGAGTATGCTAAGTCAGGCAAAGTTTGAACATGTTCCTGGGGTAAAAAGCTCTCGGCTAAAGCAAACCATGGGCTAAGTGAGTGTAGCTGGGTTTATCTTGTGAAAGGATGGCAGCAGAATATTCTAGGAGCTTCAGTTAGTTCATGGGGCTTCCTCCCACTCAGAAGCAGAGAGACTCAGATGTAGCTGCAGCAGCCGGACTTCTCCTTCTGAGCTTCAATGTACTCATGGATCTGGAACTTGGGTTCATTGGGATGTTGGACAGCCCGGTGCTTCAGCTCCCTGCATAACAGAACCACACATCAATAACAGAATGTGGATTAATTAATGGGATACAATGCATTAAAGATCCCACATTATACTATATTTGAACAATATATTATAGGGCCATAACTATACAAAACTATACATGTCTTTGAAGTGTTTTGCTCAAAATACCAAACAGATCCCCCATTGTAGCATGCCTCATACCCCTCTATCTCAGCCCTGTTACTAAAGTGCTGATTCTGGCCCTTTAAATGTAACCGAGCTGCTGCTGGCCACGCCCCTTTGGAGCTGCTGGCCACGCCCCTTTGGAGCATCCGCATGCAAGCAGTGAGCTCTGTGAAGAGAAGGCTGTCTACCAGCAGAAACTCAGCTAAACGCTCCCGTGATTAAACGCCATATTATTCCAATGATATTGTTCCAAACCACATCAAGCATTATTTCTGAAACAGTATGGAGCTCAAACGCTTTCTCTCTTGCGGGTTTACCACAAGGTGAGTACCTTTTATATCCGGCTTTTTTACACATACTCTCTTGTGGAGGCTATTTTTATATAACATTAGGAAGACTGATTCTTATCATTACATTATAAGCTTATTGTGCTCATTTATGTGGCTGTGACTTTGGAATAAATAGACATCTTTAGCCTGCAATACAGAGTAGCAAGGTCAGGTGCAGACACTGAAAGAATACAAAGAGTTATTCATAAACAGGACATCACTCCGGCCTTGAGCTTCGCTCCCACACACAGCTAGGAAGCAGCATTATGAAGATTCCACTATATCTGCAGAAAGCTTCAGAAAAAACAAATTACGTATGATGGCGCCAGAGTAGGGAGGGACTTCCACAGGCTGGCCGAATGCTGATTGGAGGATCGTGTTGCCAAGATACTTTTTTCTAAGTCTGCGCAACTAACAAAGAAAACCAAGTCTAAACCATGGTATCTCTTCAGCTAGTCTTGACCAATCATAAATGTACGGGCAACGCCCTGTGTAATAAAAATGTATGCACGCACGAGGTTCGAGGCTCTTGTCCGGAAAAAGACTGACAGATTACCGCTTTGCAGTCTGTGATTTCTATGACGTGACGGAGTCCTTGGCCAAGTGAATATATATCTTTTGCTCTCTCATAATAAATAGTTAAACTTAGAAGTCGTCTGTCTTTCCTGGAATTTTGAACACAACAAAATGGTGACGCACGACGTGATTCCAAAAAGACGATTGGGAACTCCCGACTTCGAGTCCGAGGGACTGAATGACGGCGGAGACCTCCTCCGGATTCCTATCAATACTCACAGGGCCAAAATCAAAGGTGAGCAGAAGCCTGTTGTTTACTGCCAACATTCTGCATAGGTAGAGATAGGACTGTTAAAACTGTGAGTGTCGGGGGATGAAAAGAGGAGGTAAAGTAAAAATATATAGTTGGCTGTTTGTTGTGGGGGAGCAAAGGATATATTTCTTGTAAATGTGCATGCAGCAAAGTGTCAGGGACACTAAAGTGCCAGGGGTACTAAAACGTCAGGGACGTTGGGACGTGCCAGGGGCACTAAAAGCATCAGGGGTGCCGTGAAAAGCTCCACCGCCGTGTGGAGGCTGTGTTTGAAAAACGTCAGGGACGTTGGGGCGTGCCAGGGGCATTAAAAGCATCAGGGGTGCTGTGAAAGGCTCCAGAGTGGAGGCTGTGCTTTGAAGAAAACGAAGAATAGGGCAAGTACAGTAATTGGATTTAAAGTAAGATATTTAAAGTGAAGACTTTCTGAGAAAGCCCCGTCAGAGACGGCATAGGTTTAAAAGGGTGATTACGTTAAGACAGTGACAACTCCTTGATTGTCTCATTCCTTCCTATGAACTTACTTATAATATCCTAAAGATGGTGGCAGGGACAACTTAGGGCAGAAAATATAGTATTTGAATGCAAAAAAGACCAAGACTTTTGACGCTGTTTGATTAAAAGAACAGCAAATTTAGCATTTTGTTGCTAAATGACCAATACTTTTATTGAGAACAGAAAAAATAGATAAGAAAGTGTGAAATAAGGAGAGGTTTTGTAAAATGGAGAAGTCAGAGTGAAAAGGACAAAGAACGTATACAACAGGGCAGTGGCGGCCGGCCCATAGGGGCATAAAAAATATATATATATATATATTTAACACTAGAATCGCCAATCGGGTCAATTTGACCCAGAGCTGTTTTTTATTGTATGTAACTTTTTTTCAATAAAATATTAAAGTCTCCCAGTCCGTGACTTTTCCTGAAAGTGTGTTATGTAGCACCCTATGTTGTTAAAAATGGTCAATATGAAGTCAGATTGAAGAAATCGCCAAAAAAATTGCCATTTATACCTATTTCCGCCCAGCGGGTCATATTGACCCCACCCCTTTTCATATAAACATGACGTGTTGCTATAGCAACGCCTTTTGTCTACTGCGGTTCCTTATAGATTGAGAGATAGATTGAGAGAGAGAGAGAGAGATAGATGGATAAATATATTGATAGATAGTTATAGATAGAGAGAGAGAGATAGAGACAGTCTGTAGTGAAGGAGTGCGCTCCGGCTCACGGGAGACTGCTCGCGCTGCGCTCCGCAGCAAACAGCTGTGGGGCGAGTTGAAAGTACGTTATGCTGGCCGGGGTGTCTAAATAATGGTTCCGGGCCAGCGGGCCATTTATAATGTCGAGCCCTATGAAAAGCTGAGAGTCCACAGATTCTATTGGTATACGTTTCATCCCTGTGCGATCAAAACTCACTGTTCAATAAAAGAACATTTTACCTTGAAAATCAATGCATTCTAATAGCGGGTCAATTTGACCCAGGTGGCGGTCTTAGGTATACAAAAACCTCTGGCGGTTCTAGTGTTAAAAAATATATTTTTTATTTTTATTTTTATTTTTAATAAACAAGGTAAATATTATATAATTGGTATCAGTAAAATGTATAATCTACAATAAAATCTCGTTTAAAATTGTGTTACGATGTCTAAAGTTACTGATAAGTCACATGTTTCCTGCCTGGCCTTGCCCGTGTATCATTACCCCCTATAGAGTGCAGCAAGTGCAGCAGAAGCCAACTGTTGCTATCTTTAAACTATGCCGCCGAAACATAATTTCAGCCAATCAGCGTCGTCAAGTCTGATGGTCACAGGGCTCCTACGTCAGCGCCCGGTGCAGTCTGTGAGTTGTTTGGACTCGTATCCAAGGAGACAAAACAGGAAGCTGTCATACACTCTGGAAGCTACCATTAGCAGCTAATGAAAACTAAGTTTTTGACATAAAAATTGAATTATGGTTCATCAATCATTTTTTCAAAGTGACAGACACATTGGATTAACCTATGGATTAACCTTCAGCTGCGTTTTTCTCGTTTTTGATCAGAATTGTTATTCTGCAAAAGGTGAGCATATCTCCGTGTTTTGCTACCTAAAGCTACGTTGTGTGATGTCTGTATTTGCTTCTCCTGTCGCGAGTTCTGATCGCTCAGTGATGATACTTATATTTCTAGAATCTGTGGAATCTCAGCTTGTTAGCATAAGCTTGTTTGTGCATATCCGATAAGTATATCGATTGATTTATACCTAGAGTGTGTTAGCATTTTTTCGCTCAGGGCTCATTTAGACGCTTCTTGTGAGACTTGTGTTTTGTTTCGGTAAACATGGTTCATATCATCAGTTAGCTGCGTTTCCTCTGAGTAGGACACATGAATAGTTTATTACATTTTAAGAAGCCCTGAGACACAGTTTCGTGAGAAAAAAAACGGGGGAAAAAAGCCCCTTAACAGGTTAAATGGGAATTAAATCATTTTAAGTAATTTTGAGTGTTCCCAAAGCCCCGGTGTTCTGCAGTTTGTGTGGGCCTACTGTACTGTTGCACAGTTTATGCTGTAGAAACTATGTCCAGGACAAGGTGTTTGGAAGTTTCATAGCTAACCACACTGAAGTTATGGAGGTATTGATCAGTCTTCTACGGTGGCCCGGAAGTGCAAGACACCACAGCATTTCACAAAACACCACAGCATTTCAGAAAACACAACAGCATTTCAGAAAACACCGCAGCATTTCAGAAAACGCAACAGCATTTCAGAAAACGCAACAGCATTTCAGAAAACACAACAGCATTTCAGAAAACACAACAGCATTTCACAAAACACAACAGCATTTCACAAAACACAACAGCATTTCAGAAAACACAACAGCATTTCAGAAAACACCACAGCATTTCACAAAACGCCGCAGCATTTCAGAAAACACAACAGCATTTCACAAAACGCCGCAGCATTTCAGAAAACACAACAGCATTTCAGAAAACACAACAGCATTTCAGAAAACACAACAGCATTTCAGAAAACACAACAGCATTTCACAAAACACAACAGCATTTCACAAAACACAACAGCATTTCAGAAAACGCCGCAGCATTTCAGAAAACACAACAGCATTTCACAAAACACAACAGCATTTCAGAAAACACAACAGCATTTCAGAAAACACCACAGCATTTCACATTGGACGGAAAGGGTATTCCTTTAGGGAGAACACTTCTTGTTTGTGATTGGACAGAGCCAGCCAGAGAAGCACTGCTGTGATTGGTTGTTTTTGCTGCCAGTCAAGAAATGACGCTTCGTGATTGGTCAGCACCCGACAGCGCAACATGTCCCAACCCTATGGTCCCAACACATCAACCGTTAGCTGTTAGCACACACTCAGAGCTCACAGCTCCTCATATCTGTTCAGAAACTGGACAAAAGTTAAACATGAACAAACCACAGACTGTCTATGTCATGGCGAATACAGTCGCTGCTTTATTTATGTCTGTATGACGTTGTTGTGAGTGTGGACGGAGCAGCTACAGGTTAGTTTAGCCTGATGGATTCGATTCCATTCAGAAAACACGCATTTGAAAAGCTTTTCGCCTGCCGTCTTGTCTGCAGACTTGTCAAAGCATTAATTCATGTTTTTTACTAACCGGTATCAGTATGTAGTTACTTCGGCATCACTTTGAAACGTGTATTACAATTAAATCACG